AATACTCTAGGTCTCTTTGAATCAAATCCGTTTCAGGACCTTTGCAGTCGATGTAGGAGTATCGCTTGCCCACCTAACTGTCGGTCTGCCTGTCTGTCTGGTGCGCTCGATAACACTCGAAGAAAATATCCGATTTGGCTCAAAATCTGAACATCGAAATATGATTGTAAAACTCAGATCGAGTTCGGAGATGGATAATATCGGTCCACGCCTTCCGGTACCTCCCACACAAAAGGTCAAAATTGTTGAATAATCACAACTCTTATGAGTCCAATATTGGCTTCAAATTTTGCACATCTCAATAGTTATACAAAATCTAGATCTAATATATAGATAGATAGGTGTAGATCGGACCACTGCTTCTGGTACCTCCCCCACAAAGGGTCAAAACTTTGAATACCTATAACCTGCACAAAATACAAAATTAACATCCGATTCGTTTCAAACTTGGCGCATCACAATATTTCTAATAACACAAAATCTGGCGTAAAGATGATATAGATCGGATCGCCATTTCTGGTACCTCTCCTACAAAAAGTCGAATTAAAAAAAAATGCTGCACAGAAAGAGGATTACCATTCCATTTGGCACCTCCCCCACAAAGCATTCAAGATTTTGGACAACAAACATTTTTGCTAACAAAAGATCTGTTGTGAAGATGATATATATCTGTACCTCACCCACCAAGGATTGGTCCAATCTCTAGCATCTTTATAACAGATCTTGTCTTGATAAAAATATTGAGATGTGCCATGTCTGAATGGAATCGGATGTTAATTTCGCATTTTATGAGTTTCACGGATATTCAAAACTTTGAACCTTTAAGGGAAGGTACCAGAAGGAGTGAACTTATATATTCCATCTTCATATCTTAAAAAAATATTGCAATGTGTGTAATTAGAAGACAATCGGTCTCTAACATCAAATATTATGAGAGTTATAATTATTCAAAATTTTGACCCTTTGTGGGGGAGGTACCAGAAGGAGTGGACCTATATTGTCTATCTCCAAAGTTTGATAATAATATTACGATGCAACCAGTTTGGACCAAATCGGATACTCCCTTCGAGAGTTATCGTGCATTCCAGCCATGCGGACGGACGTACAGGCATCGCTAGCTTGACTCCAAATGTCCTGAAACGGATTTGGTCCAAACCTTTGGTTTGGTCTAAAACCTTTACCTTTATGAGGAACGTTTTGGCCGTATTAAATGATATATATCCTCTCTAGCCATATGGCTGAGGATATAAGGAATTTATGCAATAAAAGTTTCTTCTTAATGCCTAAAACACAAGATTTCACAAAATCACAAAGAGTAGCAAAAATAAAAGTAGCACCAAAGGAACGATAATAAGGGGGTAAGACTAAAGAACTAAAGGCACTATGTGAACCAAAGAAAGTATTTGAACAAAAGAGCTAGAAAAAGTTCCAATCGTTCCATTTTTATACCCTACACCACAAGGTGGTCAGGGTATTATGTCTTTGTGCATTTGTTTGTAACAGGCAAAAGGAAACGAGATAGACCCAAACTTTTCCTTCCTTTTGATGATCTGCATAGAATCACTTTCTGAGTTGATTTATGCATGTCAGTCCGTCTGTCCGTCCGTCCGTCCGTCTGTCCATGTATTCTTGTGAACAATATGCAGGTCGCATTTATTATCCGATTGAGATGAAATTTTCCAAACAACATTTGTTTGGCCCAAGGACGAACCCTATTGAAATTGGAGATAATCGGTAAAAATTTAGATATAGCTCCCATATATATCTTCGTCCGATTTGCCTTTTATTGTGCACCAAACGTGTAATATCAGCCCGAATAGTATGGAATTTTGCACATACAACCAAATTAGGCCTGAAAATAAGTATACCAAATTTTATCGAAATCGGTTCAGATATAGCTATAGCTCCCATATATATTGTTCATCCGATTTGTTATTTTTGTCCTCCGCAGCCGTAATATGCACTCTGTAACAACAATATTTGGGGAAATATATCAAATGCAGCTCAGAAATACCTTTGCAAAATTTTATCCCACATATAACTTCGTCCGATTTACCATTTATTGTGCACCAAACGTCTAATATTTGTCCAAATGGGATGGAATTTGGCACATACGACGGAATTTAGTCTAGAAGGTAGTATGCCAAATTTGGTGAAGATCGGTTCAGATATAGCTATAGCTTCCATATATATTGTTCATCCGATTTTTTATATTTGTTACCCACAGCCGTAATATGCAATCCGTAACAACGATATTCAGGGAAATATATCAAATACAGCTTAGAAATATCTTTGCCAATTTTTATCGAGATCAGTTCAGATTTGGATATAGTTCCCATATATATTTTTATCCGATTTCAAATTAATTGTGCACCAAATGGGCAATACAAGTCCGAATTTAAAAGATACAAATGCTTCGGCATATTTAGTCCTTTGAATTTTAAATTATAATTATAATCATAGCGTGTATGATTGAATTCTCCCATAAAAACTTTTAATTATTAAGTGGAGCTCAACTAAATTAGCCAAGTGGTGTAGGGTATCATAAAATCGGCCCCGCCCGACTTTAGGACTTTCTTTACTGGTTCGAAATAGCTCTAATTGTAGTAGAAGTCCCAATAAGAGTGGTATACAATCACAGGGAATACCATTTCGAATAGCAATCACGAAAATAAATCCGCATCGTGCCTCAAGAAATTGCATAAAAATCGCATATTCCTCAAAACTCAAAAGAGGGAAGTGGATCTCTTGTTAAAAAATTGAACATCCAAGCTGGTTTTCTCTCTCTCTCTCTCTCCTTTTTCAAAAAATAAATTTTAGAATGCATTTGGTCATACTGTAGTAGAGTCCAAATAAGATTGGTATACAGTCACAGCGAATACCATTTCGAATAGCAATCACAAAACCAAATCCGCATCTTGCCTCAAGAAATAGCATAAAAGAGCATTTTCCCCAAAACTCTCTCTTCAAAAAATAATTTTAGGATGCATATTGTCATGATGTCGATGTTGTTGGTATTTTGAGCATGAAACGCCAAGCCCGTGACGACACTTGGATTCTACCTTGGTCTTCGGACTTGAGAGGTAAAATTGGCAGCGGTTTACACAGAAACAGGATTGTGCCCTCTTTTCTGGCTACCTCAGCATAAACTGGATCAGTACACTGAATGAGACTAATTCGTCCTGTGAAAGTAACAGGACACGTTCTGGACCCTGATTTTTATACCCTCCACCTTGGAAAGGAGGATATATTATCTTTGTCAGTCCGTTTGTAACATCCCTAAATATTCGTCGTAGACCCCATAAAGTGTTCATAATCAGCATAAAATTCCAAGTCGAATTAACGATGTCCGTCTGTCTGTCTGTTGAAATCACGATACAGTCCACATTATTTGACGTAATTCAAATATTTGACGTAGTCAAAATTTAGCAGAACAATTTGTATTGTGTCCAGAATGGTTGGTATTGAAAATGAGAAAAATCGGTCCTCGTTTTGGTATAGTCCCCATATAACGGTACCTTCCGATATTCGATATTTTGATGATTTTTTCCACATTTTTTCACGGATTTTTCTGAAAATTGGTATTTGTAGGTCATAGTGGATCTTAGTTCGTGTGGCGAAATATTGTATGTATGGGTCCACGCTTTGGTATAGCCCCCATATAACGGTTCCTACCGCTTTTTGGCATTTTGAAGATTTTTGCCACATTTTGTTCACGAATTTATCTAAAAATCGGTATTTGTTGGTCATAATGGGATCTAGCTCCGGTGGCGTAATATTGCATGTATCGGTCCACGATTTGGTATAGTCCCCATATAATGGTACCTCCCAATATTCGGTATTTCCATGGTTTTTGTTACATTTTTTCACGGATTTGTTTAATAATTTGTTTTTGTTGGTCATAATGGGTTCTGGCTACGCTGGCGAAACAGTGTATGTATAGGTCCACGTTTTGGTATAGCTGCCATTTAACGATACATCCAGATATTCGGTATTTTGATGATTTTTGCCATATTTCTTCGCGGATTTGTTTAAAAAATTGTATTTGTTGGTCATAATGGGTTCTGGCTACGGTGGAGAAACATTGTATTTATAGGTCCACGTTTTGGTATAGCTGCCATATAACGGTGCCTTCAGATATTCGGTATTTTGATGATTTTTGCCACATTTTTTCAAGGAATTGTCTGAAAATTGGCATTTGTGGGTCATAATGGGTTCTAGCTCCGTTGGCGAAACATTGTATGTATAGGTTCACGTTTTTTGTATAGCCCATATAGCGGTAACTCCCGATATTTCATATTTTGATGATTTTTGCCACATTTTCCCACGAATATGTCTAAAAATTGGTATTTGTGGGTCATAATGGGTTCTAATGTTTCCTTTACCCTAAGGTGGAGGGAGGGTATTAAAAGATCGGCCCGTCTAAATGTTTTTTTTTACTTGTCTTTATATATATCATAATGTTTAGACAAAGCATATTCCGCGATATTATAGGGTGAATTTGGACTTTTGAAAGTTTTTAGGATTTTACCCTCATTTATTTGGCCTGTAACGCAGGTCTGTAACTCATCACGTGCCTTGTTTTTATTTGAAGTACTTAATGAGCATTTCTGGATTTTTCAAGTGAAATGACAACGTACCTATTCTTATGAACCCCCCACCCTCTGGGAGTATGCAAATTATCAATTTCAAATATATTTTCCATCCCGCATTGGCGTGACACTAAAAAGCTGCAAATTTATTGCAAAAAAAACTCCATGCGCTTATTCATGATTGACAGGTACTTCACCCATTATCTGTGTTAATATTCTTTCTTCTCCACAGACTAATGAGCAGCAGCAAAAAACAACAACTTGGGTACTTAAATGTAAATCAAATTGGAGAAGCAAAACAAAAAAGTCCCCTCTTCCAATGAACTATTTTTCTGACTGGTAATTAAACGAAAACAAAAGAAATCTAAAACGGAATAGGGGGAGGGAGGGCATATCTTTGGCACTTACCTGCATTATGGGATACGTATGGCGTCCTTTCCCCAGACGTTCAATTATCACCATTTTCTCGGTATCGGCTATGACAGCTGCAATATTGGACGAGGCCAAAATGGGTCTTGCCGGTGCCTCAATGGGCACGAAATTCTTATTACGTTCGGCAAAGTGACGATCGAATGAGCTACGCCTATCACTTTGAGAGCGATGATATTGATGGCGATTGTTGTTGTTGTTATTGGAAGAGCCGGATGATGATGAGCCGCCCCCTGATCTTTGTGTTAAGTCACCATTTGAAGAGTAACGTGAGGAGTTCACGTACGATTTAGATTTACGATATGATTTCGGGTTCAAATGATGACTCAGGGAGTTGCAGTTCTGATCGAATTGATCACTGTCACCAAGTATGGTGGGTTTTTGACATTTGGCACAGGCTTTGGTCAGGGCCGCGGTGAGAAGATCACCAGCACTGATTTGTGTTTTCTCCTGTTGTGCACCTCCCCCTCCACCACTCTTTTGTATGTTGGGATTTTGATTTTCATTTGTGATAATTTTTGGGGAATTTTTCGAATTCCGGTTACCCCGCTCACGTGGCAAAGGGAGGTTGTCATTGAAGGCGGCCAAGGGTTGGGGTTTGTTGTAAGTCTTTTTGGAGCTGGTAGTGTTGTTGCCACCCACTGTCTGGGCATAACTGTGCGAGGAGTTACGATACGATGTGGATTTGACAAATTTCCCCGCCTTGCCGGGGTTGGCATTTTCAGCATTGCTCTGTTGCTGTTGCTTGTTTTTGTTGGATTTTTGACCAGCATTTTTGGGATTTTGATTGGATTTATTTTGTGATTTATTGTTGTTGGTGGTGCTGACATTACTATTACTATTATTACTGTTGTTGTTGACACTGTTGCGACCTTTGTTATTGGAGGAATTGCCGTTTTTGTTGCTGTTACCATTGCTTTGATTCTTCTGTTGTTGTTGCTGCTGCTGCTTAGCCTGTTTTGGGGTCTGTGCTGGCGAGGAAGATGTCGTTGCTGCTGGTGTTGTCTGTTGTTGTTGTTGTCCATTCTGTGTCTTTTGTTGCTGTTTTACGGGTGTTGTGGAATTTGTATTCGCCTCATTTTGTGTCAATTTCTGTGTCTGCTGGGAACTCTCATTTGCCGGCAATGCAACATTTGCATTTTCGTTTTGTTGCACCGTCTGCTGCTGGGCATTTGTTGACTGTTTTGTCTTCATTTTCGGCGGTTTATTACTATTCACCATAATTCTTGAGTTTTATTTTCCACAAATTCGGAAAATAACTGAATTTTTATTGGATAATTCTTCGAGCAATCAAAATAATGATTGATGAGTGTTGGGATTCTTTTTGTTGCTTTCTTTTCAGATGCAACTACGCAACCAGATGGTGGAACCCATGGAAAGAAAACATGAAAAGAAATTAAGGAAATAATAATTATTATTTATTGTATATTAAATTGTTTAAAAATAAATTCTCTTATCTTATCAAGATGTTGTTTTTTATTGGAAATTGATTTTGCGAAAAATAACACAATATCTCAATTAATCATTGATGTACTCTTTAACAAGGGAATATTATAAACTAAGAGATTTTTTTTCTATATTTAGAAGATGTGAAATTTCGTAAGTAGAGTCAAAATGGGGTTTCTAGACACCCAGTTATAGAATTTCCTATTTTAACAAAGAACGCCATCTTTTAATTGTTATCAGAAACTTAGTTGTTCAGTAAATACAAATTGATAAGCATACTTTAAGGCTTTTTATATTTTTGTCCGAAATATAGAAACTTTTTTATGTAGAGACAGGATAGGGTTTCTAAACATCACAACATATATTAATATATACCCTTTTGATAACGAGTGCCCTCTATCGACAATTATTTATTAGACAATATGTTATTAGACAAAATTAAAAGCCCACTTTGAGGCATTGGCTGCGAAATAAAACAGCTATCCTAAATATTATTATTAATATCAACATGAACGTTGATTTTATTCAGAAGACAGAATATTTTGTGTATAGAGACCAGATGGAGTTTGCAGCAGAAAAAAAGTAAACAATAAAAAGCTCCAAATGTTAAAATGATAAATTGAAATAGCAAAGGAGGTGTCAACTGCGAAACAAAGCATGTAAGTACTTCTTGTCCACAAGGGCCTTAATTAAAGACGAAAACTATAATCAAGAAATTGTTTATGTAGAGATAAGATGGGGGTTCTGGACTATAAACTGTTAAATATCCTATTTTCATTATGAGCGCCATCTATTGAGGCTTGGCAAATGCTGCACAGCAAAGCCAGCATCTTCATGTAAACTGTAAAGATGGGGCAAAATGGTTATTGCCATTTAGTTTTTCCATTTGCCAATAGATGTCCGACAACATGACAAAAACGCATTATAAACGTTACTGAATTATGATAATAAATAATAAATGGCATAGGAACGCAAATAAAAGCATGAGAAATAATATATTTAGCTCAGAAATCTATTCCAGGGCATTTCCGGGTACATTTCATCAAAAAAAAAATCGCGAAATTTCTATAAAAACGACAGGTCTGATATCTATAAAATGCGCCATCTTAATATATTATGTGTCTTTGCTTAAATATTATCTTCATGTGCACATGGTCAGTACATTTTAAAATAACGAGCGACATCTATTGAGATTGGGTTAATGTTTATCTGTTTGGTAAATAAAAATTTAAAAGAATACATTAAGGCCTTAGTTGCACAACAAAGCAAATATTTTAAAGATTTTTTCGGTAATTATATTGGATGTTTATTAAAGCCAGAGGAAAGAATATTCAAATTTTGTATGTAGTGACAAAATGGGGATGCTGGACAACAAACTTTAATGATAAAGAGCGCAAGATATTAAGAATCATAAATACAAATTGAAAAACATACTTTAAGCCATTAGCTTCAAAACATAGACGATATCTTAAATATTGTCTTCGTGTCGGCATGGTCATGGATTAAGAAAATTTGTATGTAGAGACAAAATGGGGTCTCTGGACAACAACTTTTTAAATAATCCACGTTGATAACGAGGGTACAGGTTTATTTGCATACCTTAAGGCATTAGTTGCACAAGCAAGGTGTTATTTAAATATTTCTTGTCCACTTGGGTACTAATTCAAGGCAGAAGATAAATTATTTAATTTTGTGTATGTAATGACAATATAGGAGAGGCATTCGGTGAAAATTATACGGTGAGGCGTTAGCTGGAAAACAAATCAGTCATCTCAATTATTACCTTCGTGTTCATGTGGACATTGTAACCAAAAGGTAGGGACGTAATGGGGTTTCTGGACAACAAATATTAAAATAATTATAAACACAGGCATACTTTGAGGCATCAAATGCACAACAACGGCAATGTCGTAAATATTACCTTCGTGTTCAAATAGGAAATGAAGATATAATATTTAATTTTCGTAAGTAGGGACAAAATGGGGTTTATAGACAATAAACTTTAAAAGAGCGGCATCCAGTGAGATTGAGCACAGATTTATTTATATCATACATAAAACCTGAATATCATACATTAAGGTGTAAGGTGTAAAATTGCATACTACCGAAGGATCCAGAGAGCCTACGTTCGCTTAATACTGACCGTATAGAGATGTGTTCTTGGTATAAAAGGTCGCCTGCAACAACCGCTTGAAGTCTACGTTGACTTGGCTAGCCTGAAGATTTTCTCTTCAACTATTCTTGGAGCTTTCGTTCGCACAGCTAGGACCGTATGTAGCTTTACCTAGGCATTTCTTTACAACTCTCAAGATAGTCTCTCAGGTCGTATTGCGGTTAGACATCTCCGAAAACCATTGGTGCTTCCACCTCGGTATTCAGCAACTAGATAATATTTAAACTCGGGTTGACCGCTCTCTCAACTTTAGATAAACGATCATTTATCTATTCATTAAAAACTTGCAACCAATTGGTTTTATTTATATTTTCTATTTTTGTTTACTTTGCGGTTTGTATAGCTGATTAGTATCTTCTGACACGGAGGGAAACCGATTCAAAGTCAAAAGCCGGCAAAGAAGACTTTGTTAAAAGATCTTTAAAGATCTTTAAATAGCCACGAAGTAAGAACAGTCCTAAAATCTGGCAACTCTGTATCAACGAAGAAACAAACAAACCATTACCAAAAACTATGTCATATCTACACACACATGCCGTTTAATATTTGTTGTTATTATAATTATTTTTGTTTTCATTATTGTGTTCATTTTTTTTTTTTTTTGTTTTTTCCCTAATCGTCGGCCACCAACGCAATTTTGTGTTTAGACAAATGTTTCGAACCAGAAACAAAACAAAAAAGATGGCAAATTAAAAGTGAAAAACAATAAACGTGAAATGTGTTCGAAACAGAATATCGAAATAAAAACAACATCGTTTTAAAAAACAGGGGGAAATGATGGGCAGGCAGGCAGGTATCTTCTTCATTGTTAGCACTTGTTTGTTTTTTATCGTATAATTTCCGACAACAAGTGAATGGGTTGTGTTCACCGCTTCACCCCGCCCCTACACCCACATTTTGAGTCATATCCTCTATTTTGAACTCATAAGGTGCTATTATTTAATAAGCCCAGAGAAAATACACAGTGCATACTGAAAAATATTTAATCTCGTTTGAAAAATTACGAAGGAATCAGTGTTGCATTTTGCGAGGATTTTATTTTCTTAGCTAAAAATTAATCAAACAATTTTTGTAAAATGGGTTAGAATGTCTCAATTGTTCATTATCACAAAACTTGAGTTGCGTGACGGCAAAAATCGTCCAGTGAGTGACTTTTTTATTTTTTATGAATTATATTTTTTTGTTCATTTAAATTTTTCAATTTAATTTTTTTTTTAATTCCTTGTTTAGGTAAATTCCAATAATAATTACTATAATAATATTGAAGCATTTCTTATTATTGGAAATATTTTCCAAGATAGCAGAATTATATAGTAGTAGAGTACAGTTGCGTCCAAAATACTTAATTTACCGTGAAAATGTAAACAAGGTATTAGTCCTGACACCAATTTCGTAAACAAGGTCCCGTAATAAAGTACAAGCCACAGGGTCGACTCTGCACCAATAAAATCTGCCAGGAAATCTCTAGCAAACAAAATCAAGAACCTTTATCGATTCAAGCATGTGAGTGGAAATAAAAAAGTGTTCCAGTGACTCAAAACAAGCCGTCATGGTCCGTCGTGAGCCTTTGATATTCAAAAGGTTCGACCGGGCCGAACTTTGAATGCCCAAAAAGTTCGACCGGGCCGAACTTTGAATGCCCACCACCATTTGGAATGAATTTGGCAATTTTCTGTTAATGTTCTAAAAATACCGAATTCAGCCGTTAAATTAGGGTCTATACGACGACGTGGACCGGCATAGGCAACTTATGTCATAAGTCATTACCATATTCAAATGCAAAACTAAAAAAAATCGGTGAATAAAATCATCAAAATACCGAATATAGGGAGGTGTCATGGGGGCTATACCAAAACATGGACCTGTACAGATAATTTTCCGAACGAACTTCAAATACCAAATTTGAAACGATTCCGATGAATAATGTCGCTAAAATCATCAAAATACCGAATATAGGGAGGTACAGTTATGTGGAGTCTATACGAAGACGTGGACCTGCACAGACAATTTTCTGTCATAGGCTTTGGTATCCATTATGAACTTCAAATACCAAATTTGAAACAATTCCTATGAATAATGTCGCTAAAATCATCAAAATACCGAATGTCGGGAGGTACCGTTATATGGGGGCTATATGAAGACGTGAACCTGCACAGACAATTTTCTGTCGTAGGCTGAAGTATCCATTACGAACTTTAAATATCAAATTTGAAACAATTCTGGTGAAAAATCCCCCTAAAATCATTAAAATACAGAATATCGGGAGGTACCGTTATATGGGGGCTTTACGAAGAGGTGAACCTGCACAGCCAATTTTCTGTCTTAGGCTGTAGTATCCATTACGAACTTTGAATACCAAATTTGAAAAAATTCCGGTAAATAAGTTCGCTAAAATTATCCAAATACCGAATATCGGGGGGTACCGTTATATGGGGGCTGTATCAAAACGTGGACCTGCACAGACAATTTTCTGTATTAAGCTGTGATATCCACTACGAATATCAAATACTAAATTTGAAACAATCCCGATGAATTATGTCGCTAAAATCATCAAAATACCGAATATCGGGAGGTACAGTTATATGGGCGCTATATGAAGACAGTTTTCTGTCTTAGGCTATAGTATCCATTACGAACTTCAAATACCAAATTTGAAACAATTCCGGTATATAATGTCGCTATAATCATCAAAATACCGAATGTCGGGAGGTACCGTTATATGGGGGCTA